AGAGCTTCTATTAATAATGGCACTGGTTTTACACCTTATGAGTTAACTACAGGTCGGCCATTTCCGGGACCGCAGGCCAGCATTCACACCTCCGAGAAGAATCCAAAGGTGGACCATAAGGTATATTTTCATGAGTTGAAAGCATTGGTGTCTAACTTTACTCAGCAGGTCCACAGCAAACACAGCCCCCTGGGAGAACCCACCTTGCCAACCGCTGAGTGGGTGTTGCTGAGGGTGATTAAGAGGAAGTGGCCAGAACCATGCTGGACCGGTCCCTACCACGTAACTGAGAGAACATCCCATGCCGTCCGCCTGAAAGGAAAGGGGGACACCTAGAAGGAAACAGCCAGCTCCCATTGGAGCCAGTGCGCGCCAGCCAAGGAGACAGGCAGAAATCTGACGGACACGACCGAGGACATTAAACTCATAAACTGAACTGTGTCTTTTGCTTGGTAGACCAAAACAGCCGAGTTAAGTTGCGTGCGGGCTCCGAAGGACTCTGTTAAATTGGGCCACTCGGTGTTGGAATAGCCACATATAGTAAGGACACCTCCCCCGATAAAAACACTACATTTTAGAGTCTCACATTACATGAAGAAAACTTGGGGGCTTAGGAGGATTCAATACCCCCAAGCAACGCCAGGGGAATGCCCCTGTGTACGTGTGGCACATTCTAAAAGTAATATTTTCTGTCTTGTTTTTGAATTTAATTTTGAATTATTTGCGTGCTTTTCAGGAGACAACCAGGCTGTCTGATGAGGAACGCTGCTCTGTGAGAGTTTGTTATTATTTTTCTATAGTTTGTGAAAGTTTTGTTATTGTGTTTTAGTCAGTGTTATATGGTTATTACTGTTACTTTTTGAAGCAATATGTTTTGGGATGGTCAGAAGAGGGCTGCAGTGTTAGCAGGGATGTTTGTTGGACTATGTGCAGTCACTCTGTTGCTACTTGAACAGTATTGTGTAATACCTAGCATGGAAAGGTATCATTATATCAGCACTCACCTCTATAGCTATTTTTGTAGCAATCATGGTTACTTGTGGATGTTGCTGCATTCCATGTATGAGATCATTGTCTCTTAGATTAATCTCAACAGCCCTAGAGAGACAGGATCCGGCTATCACACGTCAGATGTTCATGAAGGCCGCTTCGTCTATTGAAGAGAGTGACGCTCTTCTGACAGACACCTCTTTTCCAATGTTGAGATTTCGCAGAGTTGAGGGATAAGGTTCTTTATCTGGTGTGGACCTCTGGAGAAGAGGTCCAAAGGGGGATTGTTATAATCAAACTTAGGTATTGTTTAGTTTTATAATTAAATTTAGATATTGTTCACTCTTAAGTTCTATAACCAACATTAATATTGTTCACTTTTGCATGAAGTTTATTCAGCAGTATTTTGTGTTAAGCAGCTGAAGTTTTACACATTTTGATTCACTTATAATCAAACTTAGACAAACTGTGTGTCCTCTCTGTGAACTGCTGGAGTGGAGCAGGTTCTGACAAGCAGATGATGAGTTGCAGACAGGCTGAAGGAGTCTAGGGGAGTAAACGGTTGAGTCCAGTTAGAACTGCATTCCTGAGGGAGCATCCTGTGTGTATGTGTGTGTAAGAGGAGAGTAAAAAACAGCAGTGCGTCTCCTCATCAGACAGACGCCTGCCAGCTCAGCTGAGTGCACCTTTGACCAGGTTGTATGGCTGTCTCATAAATGTGCATTTATGCTTTTAAACAATACTGTATCTTATCATAACTGTTTTATTAATAAAGGAGGTTTGAACCTTTAAAAGTACTTGTATGTTATATTTTTCACCTCAGTAATAGGTCCACGTCGGAGGAGAAAAAACGAGCTCAGGCGGAGGGAGTAAGTTCGGTGTTTGTCTGCAACACCGGGAAAGCATTTGACCGGGTGGAGCGGAACTATCTTTTTAAAACCTTGGAGATGTTTAACTTTGGCCCTAAATTTGTTTCATGTGTGAAGCTGATAAATACCTTGCCAATGGCAGCAGTACGCACTAACAGTAATCTATCCAGCTATTTTCAATTGGAACGTGGTACGAGGCAGGGGTGCCCACTCTCGCCACTCTTATTCGCAATAGCGATTGAACCACTCGCAGTGGCTTTACGGAACAACCCTAAGATTAAAGGTATTAATCGGTTTGGCACTGAACATAAAGTTTCCTTATTGGCTGATGATATTCTTCTTTATATTTCAGATCCCTTGTCTAGTGTTCCTGAGTTACTTTTTTTTACTTCAAAAGTTC